AGCAACTTCTGGAAAAGCCTCTGCGAGCAGTTCGGGACAAGGCTACAGTTCAGCTCGTCGTACCACCCCGAGACCGACGGTCAAACGGAGCGGACGAATCAGACGATGGAGCAGTTGATTCGTGCCACGTGCGACACTTGGGAGCAGCACCTGCCGCTGATCGAGTTCGCGTATAACAACGCCACGTCAGCGATGACGCAGCAGTCCCCTTTCTACCTGAACTACGGGCAAAATCCTACAGTGCCCATGACGCCGAGTCCGGACAACCCAACACCACGTGCACAGCAATTCGCCGAAATTCTGCAAGTTGCCCGCACCAGAGCCGCAGAAGCAATTAAAAAGGCCAACGTCATCGCTAAGAGCGTGTTCCTATCCTCGTATCAAGATAACCTCGTATCAGGCTCACACTGAAAATTCCCCTAAACCCAAAACCTCTCGCTAGTTTTACCAGGCAAAAACAACATTCTTGATACGAGGTTTCCTGATATGAGGCCGTAGGAACACGCTCTAAGCGCAACGCTGACCGCCACCGCCGCCCAGTCACGTACCAGTCAGGAGATTACGTACTGCTCGACACGCAAAACTTAAGACTGCCCGTCGTCCCGAAATTACGACCCCGCTACTGTGGACCATTCCAAATCAGCCACATGATTACCCCAGTGACAGCTCACCTACTGTTGCCGACGGACTGGTACGTCAGCCCTTCGTTCCACGTCAGCGTGCTTCGCCCATACAATCCAACCACAAGCCAACTGCCTCGTCACCGCCCGCCATCCATGACTCGCCCTGCATCGGAGCCGATCATCGAGCCCGAAAAAATCCTGAGCCATCGGATTCGACACCCAACGGAAATCAGGAGGATTGAATTCCTCGTTCGCTGGAAGGATCGCACGCCAACTGAGGATAGCTGGGTGCCCATGGCCAACATTGAAAACCACCCTGCCCTGCAAGTGTACCTGATGAGCCGGGGTTTCCGCGATATACACGCACTCGCGTAGCGGAGGGGGCTTCTTGAGGGGTGGGGTAGTGTAAGGAATTTCCGTATTCTCCCGGACATAACACCCTAGGGTATAGCTAAAAATACATGGAAAAAATGGGGGGGGTCTCCTCATAGGAAAAAAATACATAATACCCGGGTCTTTACATATGGCATATCTTAGTGTTAGTGTTTTTTTAATTAGTCAATGTGGGTGTTTTGCTGGTCGTTTTAGCATCACTGCCTGAGGCGCGAATGTGAGTTTCGGCCTCGAACTTCATCGCCCCCACGAAAATGGCATGTGGCACCTCTCTTGCCACTTGCAACGGAAGATTCACCTGCACGTGGCGACAGAGAAATAGTGGGAGGGGGCAAATCTCGGCAGATTGCCTTTGAATGTACCGCGAAATTTCATTGAGGGAGAAATTCACACAATATTCTTCCGTATTGCAGCTACTCGTTAACGACTATAATAATGAATCCGTAAGAAAAGGGGGGGTGTTATAGAAAATCAGCCAAAAAGGGGGGTATAGTAGAAACGAGGTCTATCATAACACCCACCCCGCACAAGCTACCCGGGGGTGTACAATTATGGGGGGGTGTTTTGTCCGGGAGTATACGGTTTCTCGATATTCCTTAGCGCGCCCTGCAACATCGCGTACACCAGCAGCCGTTGCTCGCCCGTTACTGCTAATGGGGCTTCGCCGACTTCGCGCGCACTGTTTCACCAAACCTCGCACTGCTGGCCTGGCCGTATCGGCCTACGCTTCGGGACTAGCCCGAGCCTCGCTTCCAGCATAGCACTAGCTAGCTCGCACGCACCGCGTTACCGTTTGCATGTTTCGCGTATAAATGTTCGCTCATGCCTTCGCTCACATTTTGTACTCGTTTTGACTCCTTAGTGCAATTCTCGCTACTTCGATTCATTGCACCCGTAACATACACCAGTAAGCTACTTCGGGATTTACAAATAGATTTGCAGCAGAAACAAATGAGCCACCCTGAGCAAACTGAAACACATAATGGGACAGACAGAACGGATGCCAGAAATCACGAGCGATGCTGCTTGTACTCCCCAATCCCCAAAAGGTCCTGCGCATCAAAACGATGTACAAAACCCATCAAGCCTTGGATCAATCAGCTGTCAAAATGCTTGTTTTGCTGGAGGGTGTCTGAAATCTCTCACCTGGCATGCCCGGCTCTTAGCTCGAGTCTCAGCAGTGCCTGGAATATCATGGTTCGGTTTACTGAACCTCTTCTCTCCTCGGTCACATGAGCCCCATGCATCAGAAAACCTGCCGGAACTGCATTTAGGAACAAGATATGTATGCATTAAACCTGGCAGAACAACTTGAGAAGCTCACCAAGTGCGAAGTGTAGGCTTTCGATCTTACGGCATGCTGGCTCGAACAAGGAACTCCGATCTTGTAACGTTACCACGCTTGTCCCTCTCGATGGTCTTGTCTCGGATTTCAAATGACACGTTGAAAAAGAATGCAATTTTGCGCCAGCCTGAATGTGCAATGGAAAAAGACAAATGTAAGCGAATCATGGCAAAATGGTCTTAAGAAACGAACTGGACAGCAACGGATAATGGAACATACCCGACTTCTTGATATACGGTTTCCCTTGCATGACCATGTAATCACCAGGCTCAAGAACCTGCCATATTCACATAGCACACAGGCATACAAGAGATTAAAGAAGAGATGTACTCGGCAAAAATGAAGTTGGAATCTTCAGGATATCATCCAATCAGATACCCACATCCAGTGCAGCAGACTGCATGTTTCGAAAGTCTGCTGGACGCATGACAACAGGTTGAGCAGGCTGCACTGGTGAAGGTGGCTGCACTGAGGGGCTGGGGAGTGGAGATGCGGCAGCAGGTACCGGAGCACCAAAACCACTCGAGGGTATAACCACTAGCTGTTGTTGCTGCCGTTGCTGCTGCTCCTGGTACAGTTGCTGTTGCTGCTGCTGCTGCTGCAGTTGGTTGCTCCAAGAAGGATGGTTGCCCAACCTATCTGGCGTTGCAGGCTGGTTCGAGGACGCGGGAGCATGCACTGCACCATTAGCACTTGCCACATCTGCAGCTCCAGCAACTGACTGTACTCTCTCGCACTGCCTCAAAGTGGCTCCTGCTCTCAACCCATCTGGCTGCCTTTGCCACCGTTGCTGGTGCTGCTGCTGCTGCTGCTGTTGTTGTTGCTGCTGTTGTCGTCCGTGCCGGTTCTGTTGCTGGCCTAGTTGGCGCGGAGCTGCGCCAGCATAATCATTCCGAGTCACTTCCGTGATAACCACACTGCTCCTACTTACACCGTTCACACCAGCATTCCTCATACCACTCGCTCCGCCTCCGCTCCAGCCACCCGCCAGATTCTCCTGTGCGGCGTCGCTTGGCCGAGGCCTCAGCGAGTTCGAGAGCCTGCACGAACGCGAGGTCGTCCGTATCGTCGGGGGAGGCTTCCCACACCACAAGCCCTCCGTTCCGGCTGTCTGTGATCGAGGAGCTCTCAGGAGGAGAGGCGTTAGATCTATCGTTGAATGGCACTAGTGCCATGGCTTTCGACGACCAATTATTCACAGCTAGGAATATGGAGACCTGGGAAACGTTGATAAGGTGCTTGTTGTAAGAATTCTGGTGATGTGGTGAACGACGACTGAATTCACAAGAAGCACGCGAATAAACCTCAGCTTAGTATGCGATACTTCAACAGTATAGAAACCGCAATGCTAAACGAACTCGAGAAAACAGGATAAGGAGTTGACGCCCAAGTCCGAGCGAAAGCTTCGGCATCAGCCGCCACCGTAGTAGGGACTGAAATTCGTCTCAGCATACAGCAAAACCTGGTGTGATGGATGGGTGGGGTGGTACGACGATGGGGGGCGGGAAGAATCACGAACAGAGACGAACGCCAGTCTGTCGTTGGCAAGCGTCAGCAGGACGGTTTGGCAGACGCTTGGCGGTTATTTGTTGCTGTCAGGGGGAACTCTGGCGAAAGGTATCCATGCAGGTACATTGATGTTACAATCTGGCTCATTCAGCTTAACTTAATGTGTAAATGATGCTTCAATGGCTCATGATCACCTTAATTCCAGAACCTGTACTTACGTTAGGAATCACCTTATTTTCAAAAATTATTCTTTAAAAACTAGTATGGGGTTTTTTATGTCTTCTTAATCAGTATAGAAATTATTTAACATGAATGCGAGTATTATTTAATGGATATAATGCTGGCGTGAGACTTAATAGGCCCTTATATTGTACGGCAAGGGTCAACTTCTGATAACTTGCAGAGAAGACTTTCGTGGCGGGTCAGAGCCTCCACCACGGCTTGGGTGCTCGTTCTCGATTACGTGGCTCCGCTCCACCAATAATGTGTTGAGTTTTGCGCCCATATTGGTCTGGAATCTTTTGACGTGGCGTTCACCGGATGGTTGGCTGGTAGGTTCGCGCTTGTGGTACAGGCTCGGACTCGGAACCTCGCTACCTTTGGACGGCGCGCGACGCCGCCATCGCGGTTCGCTCTCGCGCTCCGCCCTGGTCTTGTGGTGTGGATATCACACACCGGCGCAACACTTGCGCTAGTCAACCCCAGCGCCGGTTCTTGAGGCCCCGCCTGCTAGCACCTGACTGGTGGATTAGCGCCTCTTCTCGCGCGCCTTGCCCCTTGGGGGCTACGGCGGCGCGTTCATTGACTTCCGAGTTCCTTCCAAACACCCTCAGTTTTATGATGTTCCGCCCTCCCTGCGATCTTGGAGTGCTCCCCTACAACCCAGCCCTTGCTCACCAACCCGAGCCCCCGCCCAACCCCAGTCTGAGCATCTTCTCTCCACTCCACCAACTCCACCCATCCGTATTTCACATGCTAATCTCTCCCTCCTTTCTGGCATTCACTTTGAGCCCCCTCTTCTCTTCATAAATCCCCAGCCCTTCTCACTGTTGGCTGGACAGGAACCCTTGTTTTAGCGCCTTTCTTCATTGAAAGTTCCTAGGGGTGTTAATTTTCCTAGTCTTCCTGCAATGGCTCCTTCACGTCCGTCGCAGCCTTTGCTTCTGCACTTCTTGGTGCTGCTGCTCGTCGCAGCAAGCATTGGTGCCGCGAGCGCACAATATGCATCTCGTTCGCGTCGCAGCCTGTGGGCCCGCGCGCGTAAGCTGTTCGAGTTCCCTACGCTTCACAAGTCGCAGCTGTCCAAGATTGGATTCACCTACGAAATCGCTAAACAGCCGGCGAAGCCGGAAGCATCGCCTTCTGACGGGGCCACGGATCCCGCCAGTTCCGTTGCCGCCTCCACTCCGGCCGCCCCCTCCTCCTCCGAGCCTTCCCGCCCTGCGGGGGGCTCGTCGAACGACGGTTTCTCGTCGGGCGGCTCTTCTTCTGGCAACTTCGCGCAGTCGGGTAACCCGCTCTTCCCCGGTACCGTTACCTCGACCCCAGGCAGCGACCCGAAACCCACTCCGAAGACCCCGTCCACGCCCTCGCAGCAAGCCGGCGACGCGGTTGCCGCTACAGCCGTGCCGACGCAAGCTGCCTCGCCGTCGGCTCCACCCCCTCCCCCTCCTCCTCCTCAGGGCCCGTGCCCGCCGCAGCCAAACATGTGCGACTTCTACTTCCAAGGCAGCACGGAATCTCTCCCCGTGTTCAACATCTCCGACGGCGCCGGCGACACGCGCCTCGGCGGGCCCATCGAGGCGTCTATTCGCGGCGCGACTGTGGAGGTGATTGCGGCGAACAGCGAGCTCGCGGACTACATCTGTCAGGACGGCGTTAACGTCTGGAGCGCTCCGTCCGCCAGCTCCGGTAACTCGACGACGCTGGGACCCGATAACCAGTTCTACGCCGTGCAGGACGGCATCCAGTCGCGTACGTTCCAGCCGGCGGCGGGCGGCGCGGCGACGTACCAGGGCAAGTACGTGCGAGTGAACCTGACGGCGATCGAGATCAGCGTGTACAACATGGTGTCGAACGTCAACAAGGGGCAGAACTACTCCTACTTCCCCGAGGACCGCCGCTGCGTCGTCTTCCAAGTCTAACGGACCCGCGGGTCCTCCCTCCGATTTCAAGGTATTGTACTCTGCTGCCCTTGGCGTTTCTCTCTGATATTTCTTGTCTGCTGTTCCTGGCTGCTGTTCCTAGTCGTATGATATTAGTTTTTATTGCTGTCCTGGCTTACATAAAAGACTTCTTTCGCGTGCCACCGCTGGAGGCCTTCGCTTTAGCTGCAGCATTAGCAGTAGGACGCGAAACTCAAGCTCAACTTTGCGCGTCAGCACTTGGCACGTGCATGCCGTCCAGCGCTACGTGCACGCCGTCCAGCGCTACGTGCATGCCGTCCAGCGCTACGTGCATGCACTTGGAGCATCGCAGCAATGTGCTAAGGCACATACTTCCACGCATATTTTTAATTACCTTAACTTCTGTTAGCATAGTGCGATGACAAAGATGGCACGAGCCTTAAAGCCAGGATCTCAAGTAGTTTGGCTGTTTTGCAGTTAGTGAATTGTGTTAGGCTGTGATTGGTTGACGAGGTAGAGTAGTTGACGAGAGCTGAAACGAGGGATGCGAAGCAAACAAAAATCGCAGTGAACTTCCGAACCAACTAGGCACGGAAATCTGGTTGGGTTCCGAAGCTCATTTCCCAGCAATGTGTCTCACTTGCCGAAAAATCTCATGCACAGCAATTTGTTTTGCAATTGAGATTCACGGTCAAATCGGGGATCAGTCGCACACTGAACCTCCAACCCAACCACTCGATTTCGCCTAAACAAACAGGGTGACTCGAGCTGCAAGTGTTTTGCAATTGAAGCCAATTTCTCTTACTTGAGATCCTGGCTTTAAGGAGCCACCGATTCAAATCTGGCATGCGCTCCTCTGCGAGATCTGCCGCTTAACATTATTCGTCCATTCCACTATCTCTAATTCCTAAATTTACTAAATTTACTAGTTTACATTAATATTTCCATTAATATTTACATTAGTCTTTCCATTAATGTTTACTAAATTTGTTCTTATTGAGTTCGTTTCTTGTATTTTTAATGCTGTGTCCCTTATTTTCCCCTCTATCTTTTGCCGCATGCCCCTTGTGGTAAGGATCTGTCGTACCGGTATTCATCTTGCATGACAGGCTTCTGTGGTATCGCTTTTGGTGGCAATCAGATGCATTCAACTGCACGTTGAAGAAATCCTCCTGCAGCCTCTTCATTTCACCACCCAATCTTCCTCCCACCACCCGCAGCAGCATTTTCACCGCCATTGTCATCCCATCCATCACCCTCAATACCACCAGTTACCGCACTGCCTGCTCATCTGCACCTGCCCCTTCGTTTGGACTAGGGCAAACGGCTTGTTTGCTGGAAGGCGTACCTTCCGCTGCAGCGTTGTCAGGTGTACTGTGGTGTTAGGGCCTAGTTGGCAAGCAGTATTGAGGGGAGGGGATTAGGTTGAAGGAATAACTTGGGAGAACCATTGTCTGCAGTGTGACTGAAGTAGGGGGTCTTCTTATGACATTATCAGGAAGCGGATGTAGCTTGGTTGTTATTTGTTTTGTAGGTATCTTCTAATTGGTTAAAAACATTGAATTTGCTAGCTCAGAAGCATGTGCAAAAGTGTAGATTCTATCTTCTTTTGCATAAGCCACTGATGGCAGCTTTTGTTTGTTGCCATATGCTGGAAAAATATGGGAGGTTGAATACAGCAATGATCACATTATAACGGGTTGGAAACTTCAGCCGGAATGCTCGACCCAGTTTCTGTCGACAAGGAATCTGGAACCTCCTGTTGCGGAGCGGTCGTCTGTGGAGTGGAGATGCTATTTACGAACTAACTGGCGTTTCCTTTCACGCGATTCTGGTTCCCATCCACCATAGTTCCTTCATATCGCTGTTGCTCCGCGTTGACTCTGTTCCGACGATTTTCGCACGATTTTCGACGCGATGCAGCTAACGGTGACGACAGCGGACGATCGGATCGTCATGATCCAAGTCGACAACGACGAGCAGGTGCGTTCGCTTGTCGCGTGTCGCTCCATCAGTCCTCTCTCGAACTTCGAATTCGAGCGTAGACTTGATGACATGGCTTCCGCACGACACGTAGCCGATCCCTTAGCGCAAATCTCTCACGACTCACAACCCCTGTGCCTTGCAATCTCGTTAATCTCTCCGAAACTCGCGTTACAGCGACTTCGAGACTGCTTTTGCTCTGCCTTCCCGTCGCATGCTGGAACCGCCACCCCTGCGGCTCACACCCCTCCCGTTCCTCTCTGCGTCTGTCGTCTTTGCAGGTGGAAAACGTGAAGGCGATTTTAGAAGTCGAGGTGCGCCCTTGATTGCTAGTCTCCGCACCTACTTCCCCCTCCTCGTGCCCTGCTCCATACCTGCCGCCGATCCGTGCTTTTCCTCACAGCTGCTTCTCATGCTGCTTCTCATGCTGCTTCTCATGCTGCTTCTCATGCTGCTTCTCATGCTGCTTCTCATGCTGCTTCTCATGCTGCTTCTCATGCTGCTTCTCATGCTGCTTCTCATGCTGCTTCTCATGCTGCTTCTCATGCTGCTTCTCATGCTGCTTCTCATGCTGCTTCTCATGCTGCTTCTCATGCTGCTTCTCATGCTGCTTCTCATGCTGCTTCTCATGCTGCTTCTCATGCTGCTTCTCATGCTGCTTCTCATGCTGCTTCTCATGCTGCTTCTCATGCTGCTTCTCATGCTGCTTCTCATGCTGCTTCTCATGCTGCTTCTCATGCTGCTTCTCATGCTGCTATGCTGCTTCTCATGCTGCTTCTCATACTGCTGCTGCGTGCCATGCTGTGCGTCCAGGCTTCACTGCCCGTTGTCGCCTTTCAGTTTGCCCTTCTCGTATGCCCGCGTGTGTCATGCCTTCCGTTCTGTCCCTGTGTGCACGTCCTTGCATGTGTTCCCCTCTTTGTCCTGCCACCTGTCCTGCCATGCATGCTGCCCCGTGTGCTACCACGTGTGCGTGTTTACCGCTGCATGCACGCAGACGGGCATTCCCTTGCCGCAGCAAGCGCTGCTGTTCAACGGGCAGCTGCTGCAGAACCACCAGCGACTGAACGCGCTGGGTGTGGCGGACAACGACCTGCTCTTCCTCACACGGTCAGACCCGCCATACCAGCCTACTAGCTTCACCCGCCCGTCGTGAAGTTTCTGCTATCTCTTCTCCCATCCTTCGTTTGTTTTCCCTCGCCTCTCACTTGGTATCAAGCTCCGTCCCACTCCCTTCATTCCTTGCCTTGTCTCTTCCCACGTTCCTTCCCTTGCTTCTAATGCATCCCAATCCTTTATGGGGTTCTGTGAATGTTTGCGGGAGGCGGAGGGGGGGGGAAGTTTGGGTCGGAGCTTGTGTGTGCTCATGTGTGTGTGTGTGTATGTGTGTGTATGTGTGTGTGTGTGTGTGTGTGTGTTTGTGTGTGTGTGTGTGTGTGTGTGTCTGTGTGTGTCTGTGTGTATGCGTGTGGGTGTGTGCGTGTGTGTGTGTGCTCACCATCAGAGCACACCGGAGTTGGGCGAGGCGATAAGGGACAACAAGGTGGAGGAGATGCAGAAGGTGCTGCGCTGGATGCGGAAGATGCAGAACGAGATGCGCCGCAAGGAGCAGGAGGAGCAGGTGCGTGCACGTCACTCGCTCACACAACAAGTCCGTGGGGCAGCCTGTATGCGTCTCACTTTGTTGATCCGCGTGCACCTCTTTCTGATATTTGTTTGCGTGCTTAGTCGGGCGTATTGTGTTTTCTTAATCTGCATCATTCCTGTGTGTGCTCATGGGTGCATGGGTGGATGAATGCATGGGTGCATGTGTGCATGACTACATGCATGCAGGAGTTGCTATCAGCCGATCCATTTGACCCTGAGGTGCAGCGGAGGATAGAGGAGCGCATTCAGCAGGTGCGTTGTTCATACCACTCCATCCATGCCATGCCATGGAATACCATGCCATGGGATGCCATTCCATATCTCCTTGCCTTGCCAGTTCACTGCACGTTGTGACACATGCATGCTATCCGTCTATCAGCTGATTCCGTCCTCCAGTTTCCGCTGTACTGCCCCCATGTATCTGTCCCCGCCATCACCTCCTGCTCCTCAGCCCCCCTTCCTTACTCCTCTCCATGTCCAACAACTCTCACCCTTCTCTCTTTGTACGGATCCCGCATGTGTGTGAATGTATGCGTGCATGCATCTTGTGTGTATGTGGCGGATGGATGCATGTCACATGTGCGGTGCGGTGCTGTGCCATGGGAGCAGAAGAACATAGATGAGAACTATGCAGCGGCGTACGAGCACGCCCCCGAGCAGTTCATTGCTGTCGTAAGTCTACTGGCTATATTCGATTCGCCTCAACATCTGACCACTTTTGTTTGTTTCTGTGGTACACTCCTCATCCAAGCCTTGGATGAGGAGCATGGCTTGGATGAGCATATGAGCATATGAGCACGCCCCCGAGCAGTTCATTGCTGTGGTAACTTTTTTCCCATCCATCCTTTGCACCATGCCACCCTTCTTTCTCCCACCATGCTTCCCTCCCCTCCCACCATGCTTCCCTCCCCTCCCACCATACCTCCCTCCCGTCACACCATGCACCCCGTCTTGCTCCCACCATGCTGCTCCCATTCCTGCTGCATGTGTGCCGTGCATGCAACCCCGTTCCGCTCACCATCCTCCGCCTTCCTCCCCGCACTGTGCCATTCGTTCTGCCGGTGCCACCCCTCCCGCCCCTCCCCGCCGCCAGCACATGCTGTATGTGGAGATGGAGGTCAACAACTCGCCCATCAAGGTAACTTCCAAAACAGTAACAATTGAGGGAGTGTATCATCAGCTGTATTGGAGTCACTTTTGAGACATTTCAAAATCATCCCCCAAGCACATGCTGTATGTCGGAATGGAGGTCAACAACTCCCTCAGCAAAGTGGCCCCGCCTCCCCTCTTCCACATGCTGTACCACTCTCATCATGCATCTCCCGCACGTGCCAGTCTTTTCCACTATGCCACTTCGCATGTGTCTACGTTTTGTCAATGTGCAACGATGCATGCTGCACCACATGCCCGCATCACCCCATCATCCCAGAATCACATCACCTCATTTTCCGGTCGCCCCATTAACTCAACCCTCGGCCCTTCACATCATCATCCGATCGCCGCATCTCCATGACCCCATGAACCAACCAACCACCCCCATGCAGGCGTTTGTGGACAGTGGGGCGCAGCAGACCATCATGTCACAGCGATGTGCTGAGCGATGCGGGTACGCCCTCACTCCACAACCCATGCCTGTTGCTCTGCTCTGCACCTTCATACTGCTCTGCTGACATCTTCCTCACCCGACTTCCATGCCACCCCACTCCCATCCCACCAACGCCCCTCGCTCTTGTCCTTGCCATGAAGCTACCCACCATCTCCACTGGTCATCTCATCTGCATGCATCCACGCTCGCCCCCCATGTGTTGTTCCGCCCCCCATGTGTTGTTCCGCCCCCCATGTGTTGTCCTGCCCATGCATCCATGTGTGCTTACTTGCGTGCATGTACGGGTGCATGTTTGCGTGCTTGTGTGTGTGCATGTGTGCATGCGTGTATGTGTGAGTGAAGGCTGATGCGGCTGCTGGACCGGCGGTACGAGGGGGTGGCGCGGGGCGTGGGCACGTCCAAGATAGTGGGGCGCATCCATACCGTGCAGCTCAAGGTGGGGGTGGGGGGGAGTGGAGAGCGGTTGAGAGGAAAGGGGGGAAGAGGGAGGAGGGAGGAGGGAAGGAGGGGAGAAGGGGTTGGGATGCGATGATGGGTGGGATTAGAGGAGGAGTGAGGGTAATGGAGGAGGGTAGTGGGGGGTTGCAGCAGGAGAAAGCTGGTGGATGAAGGGGGGGGGCGCTTGGCACGGAGTAATAATCACAAGAGGTTTCGCTCCTCGGCCTCTCTCCCACGTTCTTCCCCTCGGGTGGGAGTGCATGCGTGCACTATCACATGTGTATGCATACTATGCGTGTTCGTGAGCGTGTGTGCCTATGACTCTGCCTGTGCGTGTGCCTGATCCTGTGTCTGTGCATGGCGTTGTTTCTGTGCTCTGATGACGTCGTGTGTGTATCAGATAGGAACCAACTTCTACATGTGCAGCATCACGGTGTTGGAGGCAGACAACGTGGACTTCCTCTTTGGTCTCGACATGCTCAGACGCCACCAGGTGCACTGCTCGCTGCTGCACCTTCACCCCACTCCCTTCCCCTCGTGCACACCAGAAAAGTCTGCGTGCCACTCATTTGTCATCAGGCCTGTCCCTTTTCTCAGGTTTGCTCTGCTCTCACGCAATCCTGCTCCCCCACAATGCTGTCTCTCTCACAAAGTTGTCTCTCACCAACCACAATGTTCCCCCTCCCCATGCTACCGCCAGTGTTGCATCGATCTCAAGGACAACGTATTGCGAGTTGGAGGGGGTGAAATAGCAGTGCCCTTCCTCTCAGGTACGTTATTCCACCAGTAACCAGCATTTCAGAAAACGAGAACAAGTAATGTCCTATGTAATTCCCCCGTCTAGCGTTTTTCACCTTTCCCTTCCAGCCCTGGTTCCGCTACCCTTCTCAGCCTACCTCTTACCCTCTTCGCTTCACCCCTTCTCCACCACACTCTCCTCCCACAACGCTGCCCTTCTCACCTGCCACTCTCTCCACTCCCGTCCCACCTGGGTGCGTGTGTGCAGAGAAGGACATCCCGGCCTTCCTCACCGCAATGGACCAGGACCCTTTGCCCGACTCCGCCACCCCTGCACAGCCCTCCCAACCCTCCGCTTCCGCTGCTGGTACCTCTGCACCCGCTGCACCCTCCGCAGCACAACCAGCAGCAGCAGGCACAGCAGCAGGGGGTGCTGCGAGTAGCGGGGGAGGGGCGCCAGCAAGTCAAGGCGGTGCTCCTGTGTCAGCAGCAGCAGGTGCTGCATCACCAGCAGCATCCGGTGGGTAGGTGAGCTCAAGCCGTGTGCACTCCACACTCAGGGCCTCTCTCCCCTGTCCACTCTGCTCCAATACCTTCCCTTCCCTTTAGGCACCTCCCCTCCTCATTGTACAAATATCTCAGGGTCCATCCACCGCTGTGCACACGCCCCCTGCACCCTCACCCGTCCTCCCACCCACCCTCTCTGCGCTGCATGCAGGCAACACCAGCAGCAGCCCCAGCAGTGTCAGCGCACGAGGTGAAGGTGCAGCGGCTGATGGAGCTGGGGTTCCCCCGGCAGCTCGTGGAGCAGGCTCTTGCACTCACAGGGGACAACGAGGAGCACGCTGCTGGCATACTCTTTGCCGGCTGATGCTGCTGTCACCTGCTGCTGCTGCTGCTGCAGCTAGGCCGTCATGTATATTCTGCAGTGGGTGCTCCACTGTGCATCAGTCATCGACTACCATGCGTGCTCTGCATGCACTGCACACTGCTTGTTTGACAAAGAAACTGTTTGCATATGGTTATCTCACAAATGCGATCTCAGTTCCCTCAGTAAGGTTGATTGAGGAGGGATTACCGGTACGGTACCACAAGCTTGGGCAGAGAGAAAACCAGTTGTGTGGGTGGATGATTCTGCAAGTAATTAGACCAACTAAGGTGCTACGGGCACGGCAAAGCCCCTCACACAAGCCCACGTGGTTGCACAAACTTCAATGTGCGATGTGCAAATCCTAACTGGCCCACTCTACCTCATTGCTGATAGCACCACCCATGTAGGTAACAGGTCTTCCTGTCGTCAACAAATCTGCAACCATGCAATGTCCTCTGTGACTCCGACCATCCACCCAAGCCATCGCTATAATGCAAGAACGGAGAATGGCGGGAATAGCCACAGAGAAATGGGAACGGGGATGGAGGATTACGAGGAAAGGCACTGTTACTGAGAGATACTTTGGTTAGCGAGTCCAATCCATGACAGTAGGTACATCGATCCAAATCACGATTTTCATATTCTTTAGTTGCCTCCACCATATTTAGATTCCTGTGAAACAGGTCCGATCAATACCGGTATGTTCATGTGTGAGGTTTCTCGGTATATCTGCTTATACTCGCATACCAGGTCACCTGGATTCTCTTTATCAAGGCATGCAGTAAGAGGTGTACAAACAGCAAGTACATGATCCTTAAGGTGCAATCAATATTATCCATTAATTCTCTGCCTAGACATCATAACAAGCTGTCTAATCCCACTAGTATCCTTCCTAGTGCTAGTCTTGTCAACCACAGGTTCATCATAAGTCCTTCATGTACTATCCATGCATGCCATCCATGCCCACCCCGGCATGGACTGGCAGCGCAACAGGCAGAGAGGAAGCCTGAGCCATGAGCATTGCTTCGCCCAAGACGTGCGAGTGCCCTACTAGGGACTAGCTCTGCCCACCCCCACCTCCACCAAATGACAACAACTGCTGGCCAGACAGTGTTGGCACTTGGCGGGGGCGGAGGGGGACAGAACCAGTCCGGTTTGGCCCGGATTCGAGTGCTTAGCCCAATGCTCAAGGGTTCAACCCCTCTCATGCACTGTCTTCAACCTTCAACAGCCATAGTTGCTGCCCATAAAAGAACCTGCATGGTAAGAAAGAGAAAAATTAGTCCAGGCTCTTTAAAAACAGAAAGGAGGCAGCATGCGACAAAGCAAAGTGATGAACACAAATTCATAAAATAGATTTAGCAAAACCGATTTGGCGCAAAGGACTGAGACTTATCTGCAGTTGGGGAGTTGAAGGTGTTGAGCAGTGCGCAGGGACTTGAGGCTTCGTGGCCGTGAAGAGATGCATTGAAGAGGGCCCTTGGAGAGAACCTGCCAGGAGGTAAACGAACCAAGTCAGTGAACGAGATCATTATGAAGCCACAACTTGAATAAAGCAAAAGAATCAGCAAGAGGGAAGTGCAGAAAACTAAGCAAGCGTTAAAGACAAGGCGCAGGCAACTTATCTCGTCGCCATTCTTGAGCCTTGAGGAGCCTCAACAGACCATGGTGAGCCATGGATGGTCGCTTGGTTGAGCAACCTGCCACATACAGTAACAATAAAACCAAGTTAGTAAATCAAGCAACTTCGGAATCACTAAGCAACAGAAAGCAAGAGATGAGTCCAGAGAGAGGGGACTTACTGCTGGTGGAGAGAGAGGAGGCGCCTGCCAGTGGTGTCGGCAGGTACGTTCACCCCGCGCTTAGCAGTGTGGAACAAGCGCGTTGAATAGACCCTGCAAGAATAAACAAGCGAACGTTAGTAAACTGAATTAACAAAGGATGAAAAAACAACACTCAAATACTTACCACGCCACCACAGAGCCGATTACCAACCTAAGGGACCTGTACCGCACCTGTACCAAACCTTTACCGAACCTTAACCGGGGGGGGTGGCTCTGTGGGGCCGATACGTTCAACCTTAACCGTGAAGGTAAGTTGCGGAGCTGCTCCTTTGTTGCCATGAAGCTTGGAGGGTTGATGTAATGAAGGCCGTCGGTCCTCCAATGACTTCTGAAGTGGCGCCCAGGAGGCTCCATATCCAACCTGCAAGTATAAAAACGCATAAGTTAGTAAACTGAATTAACAAAGGATGCAAAAACAAAACTCAAAGAATACTTACCACGCCACCACAGAGCCGATTACCAACCTAAGGGACCAGTACCGCACCTGTACCAAACCTTTACCGAACCTTAACCGGGGGGGGTGGCTCTGTGGGGCCGATACGTTCAACCTTCACCGTGAAGGTAAGTTGGGGAGCTGCTCTTTTGCTGCCGTGAAGCTTGAAGGGTTGATGTAATGAAGGCCGTTGGTCCTCCAATGCCTTCTGAAGTGGCGCCCAGGAGCCTCCATGTCCAACCTGCAAGTACAAAAACGCATAAGTTAGTAAATCGAATAAAAAAAACCGTGCAAAAACGAGCAATAACTGTGCAAAAGCGGAAAAAACATATGCTGCTGCTTACCACAGCACCACAGAGCCGATTACCAACCAAAAAAAATACCAGGAGACCTGTACCGCACCTGTACCAAACCTGTACCAAACCTAAACCGGGGGGATGGCTCTGTGGTGGGTTTGATACATTCAACCTTCACCGTGAAGGTAAGTTGGGGAGCTGCTCCTTTGGTGCCGTGAAGCTTCAAGGTTGATGTAATGAAGGCCGTTGGTCCTCCAATGCCTTCTGAAGTGGCGTCCAGAAGCCTCCATGTCCAACCTGCAAGTATGAAAACGCATAAATTAGTAAATCGAATTCAAAAACAAGCAAAGACTATGAAAAAGCGGGAAAAACACATGCTGCTGCTTACCACAGCACCACAGAGCCGATTACCAACCAAAAAAAATTACCTTGAGGGGACCTGTACCGCACCTGTACCAAACCTATACCAAACCTGTACCAGGGGGGATGGCTCTGTGGTGGGGTTGATACATTCAACCTTCACCGTTAAGTTAAATCGAGGAGCAGCTCCTTATTTGCCCGCCATGAAGATTGGTTGGGAGGCTGCCAAAGGTTGTCCCTCCACCAATGCCTTCTGAAGTACGAACAGGAGCCTCCATGCAAGCTGCAACAATAAAAATGAGCAGAAGTTAGTAAACGGATTGAAGAAAAGAATGCAAGAAAAACGAACAAAAAACGAAAACGAAAAACGGCTGTTTGTGTACCTGACGTTGAAAACAATAACCAGGTGAAGTCGTCTAACGAAGATGTGAGACGTCATGACGCTCGGCGATTCGACCAATCGATATATGCCAGGCTGACTGGTGGCGACGTGAAACGATGACGACGCTTTGAAACCGCTAGAGCGAACGAAAGCTAAGCTCGGTTGACAATAATGTCAAGGAGGCTGAAGAAACGAACTAATTTTCGAGGAGAACAGCGGATGATCATCAATGGATCTGCAGGAAACCGTGCACCTGCCTGAATGCGGTCCATTGGGATCCCGACGTCGCGACGCCTAACGTGATGAAACCATTCAATGGTTGAGAATATGCCTTGCTGGCTGTGAAGGTGGTCCCACATGTGCCACGCTGGAATGCGGTGGATCGGAACAATCCGCCGAAAACATGAAAAGTAGCTTCCAATTGGATCGCCTAGTGTGGAGTCGACCACATGCGATGGGAGCATTATCCTGTGGCTTCAGTTGAAGACAGGTAGGCTAATTGATTGGACAGAAAGAAACACGGGTAGAAACACCAATTTCGAAAATCTTGTGACGTGGCCAAAAACAGCCGCTAATCCAACGGCGCGGTTCGTTTCCCGAAGCGTGATATCACTTTGAGCCGCTCTAGTGCTGAGGCGGATCCAGGGCGATGAGTTGGGCTGGGTCTGACACAAGCGGCGGCAGACAGCTACAGAGCAGCTATGAGGTCATCATCCGCTTGAAGGAGGCCAGCCAACTCAGGTTCTTGCGAATTGGCGAACCCATTGGTTACTGAAAATTGCCCTTCGTCGACGCGAACAGATATCTCTTGAGGTGTGTGCGGGAGGGCTCCAGTCGAAGCGATGGCGGGAAATCTGTCCGTGTCATACACCTCAGGATCCAAAATGACCATCCAACCCAACCCATGTTGAATACATTCATGGTAGAGTACACAGTTGGGTTGACAATTGCATATTGGTTCTGATTGTCCATATGCAAACGATTTTGCTAAGGGCGCGTATTTGTGCAGGGGGAGGTGTGTTGAACGTGCTTGTGGAGAAGGGCAGGCTCGAACTTTCTAGGAGGTGGTTGACGTGGCACTATCTTTAGTTGGGTCACTAGTTTTTTTTGTGGGAAATCGTACAGCATAGATGAGTTTTTTTTAGTTCGGCGTGAGGTGCGGGACGGCTTTGATTTGGTCGTGGAATTCGTGCGTGGTGCTGAAAAGTTCGGCTGGCTGGGCAGCAGGAAAAACAATGGGTGGATGAGAAAAGATTTACGTGAACCAATGGAATGAAGGGTGGTTTTGACACCCTGACACGATCACCACGCCATTATCAACAACCCGAACCTCGAATTTCCGAACCTGCCACGCCTAATCCCTCACCCGTAGTAGTCCAGAAAGTAGTAGCGAGGGTGTGACTTCTCCACCTAATCTGCTTTCAGTTCTAGTTTCGCCGCTCACCTTGTTAGTGTCCATGGATGATTCTTGTTAGGTCAGACCTCAGCGCGGTACTTGATCTGAGTACAGCTTTTTCATGGCAGATTTTTTTTTTACGATGTAGCAAGTGTTGCTCCCTTTCTCGGTGGTACTTACTGTCGCTTCAGGCGTCTGTTGGCGTGCAAGCTGTATCAGTTATGATAAGATGTCGCAGTATCGGTAAGAAGTTGCGCGATCCAGATCTGGCTTCTATTCACATGATGCG